GTTGCTAATTGTTTTTAACAAAAGGCGTCTTAATAAAATAATAAAAAAAACTATTAGACTGATACAGACATTTGGTTTTTCTATGCAATAATATATGGGGTAACTTTTTGTTGCCATCTCAATTAAAATATAAATAAAAAAATTTGGGCCCCCAGGGCACCCTTAAATATTGGGCTAGAATGGCTATTTTTTTCTAAACATACTGTTAACACGAGGTTACTTTTTGTGGTTACCCCAATTAAAATATGAAAAAAAAATATATTTTGGGCCTCCGGGGCACCCTTAAATTTTGGGCTAGTACGCTCATTTTTTTTCTAGAATTACTGTTAACATAAGGTAACTTTTGTGGTTACCCCAATTAAAATTTAAAAAAAAAATATTTTGGGCCTCCGGGGCACCCTTAAATATTGGGCTAGTACGCTCTTTTTTTTTTATAGAATTACTGTTAACATAAGGTAACTTTTTGTTCCCACCCCAGTCAAAACATACAAAAAAAATATTTTGGGCCCCCGGGGGACCCTTAAATAATAGGCTAGTAGGCTAAATTTTTTTCTAATCAATTACTTTTAACATAAGGTAACTTTTTATTACTACCCAAAAATAAATATCTCAAATATTTTTTTTTACGTTTTTCGGCCCACCCTAGTGTGCGTGCCAAAAAACCTTAAAAAAAATGTTATGAAGATGAAAGTATACAAAAACATTATAAAAAAAGTAAATCATTATTTAGAAATTTTTTTAATTAATTGTTATATTTTAAGAAATAAATTTAGTCTCGTTTTTTTTTATTAGATCATATCTGTACCGTACGATTTAGAAGAAATAAAAGATCAAAATCTAACATAGATGCATACTTAAAAATAGATGTTCATAAAAATTGTAAATAGAATTATTTTATTCGGAGCATTAAATTACTAAAAAGGTTCTATGTTTTAAATTTCAAGAAAATGGCATCTTTTTTATAAAAATAACCCATTTTGTTTTAAAATTCATGGTTCTTTTAAAAACCATTATTGTTCAAGATATTTAAGTCTATATGGTATCAAAATCTAGCTTATTCTTACGTTAAACTTTTTAATAAAACATTCAAGATTATAAATTAAAGCTTTACAAACAAAGAAGTTTTATCGTTGTTTCTATTTAACACCTAGATAAAATTCTAGCGATATTCATTAAAAATTGTAAAATTTGTCGCTTATGATTACAAGGCTAACATAGACATTAAATTTTACCGAGTTTAGTTATAAGTTATGTTTTAATTGGAATAAAATACGCAAATTATTAAACTTAAAAATTAGCTTAAGATGAACAAATTTTGTTCTCAAAACGTGCCCAAAAAAATTTTAAACGTGCCACTCATGGCACGCGTGCCATGGGTTCGCCATCCCTGACCTAGAATATTAATAACCCCTTTGAGCAGAAAGGGAAAATGTTCTTAACTTCAAAAAATACGTAACTGTCAATATTAATGAACACTTGATAATTTGTAATAAAATAATTTTCTTTACGTAAGTAACAAAACTAGTTATTTTTATAATAAAAATACTTTTTTGTACGTTTCTCCCTAAATAGGTATTAGGTTTTAATTTAAATTATTGATTTCTTTCCGCAAGTTAACAAAATATAGTTGTAAATCTAACTTCTGATATCTGGCAACACTGCTGGAAGTTAGTACGACGTGACCGTAACTCTTTCATATATATGCGGAAGTGATTTCGTATATTAGTTGCTTCCAAATATATACATTTTAATTCTTCACAAAATGCTTCCCCTCTTTTGACAACCGAATTGTAGACCTTCCCCTCTTTCAAACGCACCCTAATATATACGTTTAAAATAACTGGTAATACCGGAGGTCAGGGCGCCACGTCAACCTATCGGAAGTCACTGCTTACCAAACACCAATATATATATATATATATATATATATATATATATATGTATATATATATATATATATATATATATATTAGGGTGGCCCAAAAAAAAGAATATTTTTTTTCTTCTCGTCTCTTGTGAAAATATGTTGGTTTGTCATGTTTTAAGAGCCCTGTCAAAAGATCAGCACCATTAAAAATTTTTTAGGGGTCGCTCAAGATTTTTAAAAATTACCAAAATCGTCAAAAATTGGATTTTTTTTTATTTTAATTTTTTTTCTCGAACCGATATTATTTTTTAATTTAAAAATAATAATGATTCTGAAAATTTCAAATCGATATTTTAATTTCTAAAGGTCGCTCAAGATTTTTTTAACTTTCAAAGTAGAGTAGGTATTTTGAATGTTTTCGAGCGACCTCTGAATATAAATATCAACGAACTTTTAGCTACCTTTAGAAATCAAAATATTGATTTGAAATTTACAGAATTTTTATTATTTTCAACCTAAAAAATAATATCGAGACGAGAAAAAGAATTAAAATAAAATAAAAATTCAATTTTTGACGATTTTGAAAATTTTTAAAAATCTTGAGCGACCCCTACAAAATTTTTAATCGAGCTGATATTTTGACAGGGCTCTTAAAACATGACAAACCAACATATTTTCACAAGAGACGAAAAGAAAAAAATATTCTTTTTTTTGGGCCACCCTAATATACAGGGTGTCTCACCAGCGATGGTACCTTAGACGTTTAAGGAGAACGGCTTAAGATATCAATTTGAAATTTGTATAGCAATTATTGTACAATTTAATCTACCTTTTAAAATTATTTTAAATAAAATTCCTCTTCCGGTTTAACCGGAAGCGACATCAACTTTGTTATTTCCAATGGAACACCCTGTACATTTTTTTATTTTTATATTCCTCATGAAATTCTTAATGAAATTGCTGTACCATTCCCTATACCTAAACTTAATAGTTTTCGAGTTAATAATTTTTTTCGTAAAATTTTGACAGTTGCACCTTCATTAAAAATAGCTTATAACTTTTTTGATATTCGGTTTGCTGGTATGCTGTAAGGATTTTTGGAATCTTAAAACTTTGTTTTAAAGATTCCATGTCTGAAACTTTCACATTTATGATCAAAAACCAGAGAAAAATCGTGTTAAATTTAGTTAACTTCAAACATTAATAACTTGTTTATTTTCAATGGAACGGTATGCATGTTTTTACATAATCAAATAGGAAAATGAATTACATTTTAATTGTTATAACTATTCCCTATACCTAAATAGTAAGGCTTCGGAAATACAAGCAAATTTCTGTAAAAATCCAATATTTTGACATATTTATCTCAGATACCGATGAAATGTCACGACAAATTAGTTATGTCATTGATTGACAGTTGATACATTTCTTAAGGAAGATATTTTAAAAATAATGGAAAACAACAATTAAACAAAGTTTTAAGAATTTAATTATTATAAATTATAAAAAACGTGATGGAAAAAATAACCAAAATTCTATTTTAATAAATGTTCAAAATGGCGCAAACATTTTAAAATGCGGAGCCTGGGAGATTCCGTTGTGACATTTCATCGGTATCTGAGATAAATATGTCAAAATATTGGATTTTTACACAAACCTTACTATATAGGTATAGGGAATGGTTATACTAATCGAAATGTAATTCATTTTCCTATTTGATTATGTAAAAACATGCATACAGTTCCATTGAAAATAAACAAGTTATTAATGTTTGAAGTTAACCAAATTTACCACGATTTTTCTCTAGTTTTTGATCATAAATATGAAAATTTCAGACATGGAATCTTTAAAACAAGGTTTTAAGATTCCAAAAATGGTACAGCATACCAGCAAACCGAATATCAATAAGCAATTTTTAATGAAGGTGAAACTGTCAAAATTTTACGAAAAAAATTATTAACTCGAAAACTATTAAGTTTAGGTATAGGGAATGGTACAGCAATTTCATTAAGAGTTTCATTAGGAATTTAAAAATAAAAAAAATTACAGGGTGTTCCATTGGAAATAACAAAGTTGATGTCGCTTCCGGTTAAACCGGAAGAGGAATTTTATTCAAAATAATTTTAAAAGGTAGATTAAATTGTACAATAATTGCTATAAAAATTTCAAATTGATATCCTCAGCCGTTCTCCGTAAACGTCTAAGGTACCATCGCTGGTGAGACACCCTGTATACAGGGTGCTCAGAAATTAAAAAAAAATTATAAATCAAAATAAGAGAGAAACGTGGTAAGATATTCGTAACGGAATCGCAAAAAATCATTCTTCATAAAACTTCTGCTTGTATTTAAAAATGAGATTCCTCACAAACATTTTTAATTAAATGTCCAGGGTGCTCAAAAAATAAAAAAAACAGCAAAGTGATTTAAGAGGGTAGTACAATTATTATAATTATTGTTTTATAGGAATCTTATTTTTAAAACAAGCATGAGTATTTACCTAACGCATAATAAAAATAATAAGTTTTCCTATTGTCAACCATCACGATATTGGCTAATGGGTTGTTAAAAAGAAATATGGTGAAATGTAAAATGTTGATAAAATAATATATTTTTGATACTTTGAAGGTAATGGTTTTTCGGTTATTCATTATGCTTGCGCCATGTTGCAATCGCCAACATTGGCGATCGCCCCCTGGTACGAACTATAAACATTTATTTATTTAATAAATAAATTATAAAATATAAAACATAAAAAAATACTTACAAAAAATACACAAATATTAAAAAAATTCATTTTATATCATTTGGCTAGACTTAAATTTATATAAGAAGTAAATTTAGCACCCCTAAAAACATAAAAAACACACGCCTTGAAAAAATATTTATAGAATAATTTTTGCCGCGTAAATTTACCTCTCAGACCACTGTGGGACGTGGTAAGTCGTTTACCCGTATAGGAGTTATAGGTATATGCAAAGATTCTTTGCCAAAGAACAGTGTTCTTTGGTTAGTAGAGAAGACCACTAACTTAGGTCTGTTCTATCTTGTTCAGACATGTGATGATCTCGTAGATAAATGTTTTTAGATATATATAAATAATTTTTTTTTAATTGGGCAAATAAAAAATAATTTAAAAATAGTAATAATTTATTAACATGTATAGTACCTAAACAAACTCAAAGTTAATGTTTAAAACTTAAATGTTTTTTTAAATGATCTGCAAATATAGTTTTGTAATTACATTGTTGGCAACAGTGCACTTTGGAGGTAATTACGTTTTCATTGGATTCGTTTAACGCATCGGAATGTTTGGTTAGAATATGGTTGTCTAAATGTCTTTTTTCATTACTTTGATATTGACAAAATAAACATGTGAATTGTTTTATTTTATTATGAGTTTTTTTGTGCCGATTTAAATGAAATTCGTGAATACTTTTAAAATTGCAAATTTCACATTTGAACCACTTAACGTTTTTTAAGTTCAGACAAACTTTTACATGCGAATCATAATGAGATTTAATGACGGTTGAATACAAACACTTCGTACACTGGTGTATTTTGCTTGTTATTTCTATTTTATTCTCTCCTTCATTTTCTAACCTATGTTTACTTATAAGGTGCGCATTTAAAGTTGCCAATCGTGCAGCCATATAGTTACAAAAATTGCATTTTAAATAGTTTTTTTTGTCGTGATTTCTTAAATGAACTTTAAAATTACCTTTTCTTAAAGTTACATAATCACATTTTTTGCATTTAAATTCTTCCTGTTCCTCCTTTTTGTGAACATACTTTTTATGAAGACACAAACCCGGCTGTGATTGATATGCCTTAAAACAAATGGCGCATTTAAATAATTTTTCTTTTTCGACTTCACCTCCTGGTTTTAAACACTGTTCCTCAAGACTTTCTGTAAAAAAGTTTATTTATTAAAAACCCAGTTCAAATTTAAATTAATTAATTTGAAAGGTCGTATAATACGTATAATAATTATAATTGCAATTCATTGGGTAGGAACATTTTTTTGCGATCGTTAGGTACCATAAAGGAAGTTGAAATCAGTTTTGCAACAATAAACGATAATGTTGACCGTGTGCAACCAAAATTATTAATCTGTTATTTTCGTCTAGAAGATCCGGCAACACTGGATTAAGAACACGATATTTGGTTTGATTTAATTGTTGACTACCATAATTTTGTTTTTAAAGTAAATTATTTGAAAAATAACACAATTGTATTGTTATTCATTATGTTATTTATTGTTTTTAAGTAATTACAATCCACACAATTGTGGTTTTCTGTTGCTTTACTTTTGGTACCCATACCTTTTTTAATATTTTTTTCTTTGTAGTGACTTGATTCGTTTTAAAAACATAATAATTTCTTTTCACAACTCATTTTAAGATTTTACATAAGTGTGAATTCACAATGGACATAACCATAAAAGATACATAATGAAATCATAAATCATAACCATAAAATTTACATAAAACCCAAAGAGCGTTCACAATGACCATAAAGTCGGATTTATACATAGAAATAACAGTGTTATTTCTATGGATTTATAGTTCTAAAACGTAGCCGTAGCCGTTGCAGTTGTAGTAAGTAAGTAGCTAATTTTTACAATTTATAGTTCAGCGCGTAGCGGTTGCAGTAGTGGCCGCGTAGTGACATTTGTTCTGTTTACAAACATTTCAAGTATTTTGTATCGGTGATTTTCGCTTTGTTTATTTGGTTTAGTTTACTTATAAACATAGTTTAGTGACATTTGTTCTGTTTACAAAGATTTCAAGTATTTTGTATAGGTGATTTTCGCTTCGTTTATTTTGTTTATTTGGTTTAGTTTACTTATAAACATGGTTTGGGAGCCTTGTTTTTGAGTTTGACAGTTTTTCTGCAATATCTGCAATTTGATTGGCTGTAGTAGTCGTTGCCACAAGAAAAGATAAAAGTTGGTCATCTCTTACGACAACTTACGACAACGACCTTGGATGCTACTGCAAAGATCCTCCAGCCAATCACAGACTGTTTTGCTCCTACTGCAACTGCAACGACTACGGCTACGTTTTAGAACTATAAATCCGGCTTAAAAATTGAAATGTTGAGCATGTCAAACTAATGTAATTTTTTTGAACATAAACTCATAAAATTTATGAATTGTGTTTTTAAAATGAGTGAGACTGAAGAATTGTTATTATTGTTACTACTAAGACGTCGATGCCAGGGGCGTGCTGGCTGAATCAATGCAGGCCTGGACTAGATGGTAGAGCAGTCCAGGCCCAAGCCAACTATATAAATGGTAAAAATACATCACAATTAAATACCTCGACTGATAAAACGTCCCGTGATACCTAACTCTCTTCGCAACAAAGAACTCAGCTAGCTCAATTATTAAGTCACAATCTAAACCATTTTGCACCTTTCTCTCCACAGTAATCAGCATAAAATCTTCCAAATTTACGTCACTTCACACTGATATTAAAGGAAAGTATTATGGTATTATCACAAATAAATCAAGACAAAAACTGCGAGAGGGGTCTTTTTGGATGCTTTTGTAATTATGTTTATGTTCCTCTATAAATCCGAGCTGATCCCCCCTTTCGATAATTTATAAGTTGACTAAACTTGCATTTTATCGAAGTGGCCCCGGATGAGTTTGGATTTCCAAAGAAGCGGAAAAATAATTACAAAAGCATCCAAAATATCCCCACGCTCTAGGGTTTCCACATGCGACTTCTTGGTTAAAGGTTAGCATAAAAAATACGTGTTTTAAATCTTTTTACGGGAGTCAATTAAAACTTTTTTTTAATTTATATTTAGTGTTTAGTGATACAACTTTTTGTTTGGTATAAAAATCTTTTTTCTATTTGCATAACATAACAAGTCCAGCAGACCACCATAAATTGATATTAAACGATAATAATGGCAATGGTAATGCTTTAAAAAAAAAATAGAAAAAAAAAGAAGTTAGTCTAAAATGGATTTGAATAGTTCAAGTAGGTAATGTCTTTTTGAGATGTTTGAATTTCTGTTCTTCTGGGTGTCTTGTACCTACTTTTATTATAATAAAAAACTAAAATAATAATTTGGCTTTATCTTAGGTATTTGTCTACCGGTGACTCCATAGCAAATGGTTATATAACAACATAACAAACCAAAAGTCACTGAATTTTCCCAAAATATTTCATAAAGTTAAATTATTTGAACTTTATGTGATTTTTACGGTACTCCATAATTTTACATAAGAGTCACATAAACGTTAAGATTACGTAGGTACTATGCACATTGTGAACGCTTCTTATGTATTTTTTTTATGTATTTCTTATGTTTTTTTTATGGTTACGTCCATTGTGAACAAGCACTAACACCACACAAAGAAATGTCACTGCCATTGTCAAAATCGAAAAGCGTTACCATAGAAACCAACTATCAACAACTCGCAATGTTATTTTTTACGTTTTAATTAAGGGGTAAATTCGCTTACCTATTTTTAAAAAACAGCCGATACCATTTTTGACACGAAAAATAAGTTCTGGAAATTTGTATTCTTGATATTGATAAAAAAATTATGGCAAGCTTTTCGAGACAGGATTTATATTCTTTACGAAAAAAATATATCGTTTAATGACAACTTATGTTCAAGTAGCAAAATTCAACTTTTGGGATTGTAGAAAAATGTAAATTAAAAAAAAAACATTTACCTTTTTCTGTTTTTGGAAGGACTATTTTTGACGGTATTTCTTCATTCACAACTTCACTGTCGGTCCTACAAAAACATTTAATTTTACATTTTTACACTAACATAAAATCATATACCAATTTTTAAAAATTGAATGTTTTTATTTGTCTTTTTATAATTTTAGCCTATTTATATAAATAAATAACGGCAGGCCCGTGACAGGAAATTCAGCGGTAACAATGTATTCAAAATAAAAGGTTGTAAATTAATTAACAAATTAATACTTTATTACAAATTAAAGTATCATTAAAAACTAAGAACAACATAATAAGTAAATAAGTACCTAACAGTATAAATTGTTAATTTGTTGTCATAATGGAAAAATTAGGGTTAAAACTAGCGATGGGTCGTTCATGAATGAGTCGTTCAAAACGTACGGCTCAGTTAGGTGAGCGCTGAACGAACGACTCAGCTCTAATAAATGACTCGTTCAAATCGCCATTGCTCGCCATCGCGACTTTAAGGCGCAATGGCGATTTGAACGATTCATTTAGCAGAGCCGAGTCGTTTGTTTACCGATCACCTAACACTCCTAAACCATTGCCTAAATGCCTAAACACTAAACTAATATTGAACTGCCACCACTGGTCGAATTTGGCAAAAACGTGCTATAGGTAAATTGATTTACTTAGCATTTGTATGTAAAAATTAAATTTTTATTCATAATTTGCCTAAACTTTTAAATGTTTTAAATTTATTTTGAGTGGACTGAATTATACAGGGTAACACAAACCAGAGTTAGAAAAAATCTTTACTTCAAATTCAAGTTAGTTTTAATTGATAAAAAGTCGATATAAAATAAATGTATCTAAAAACTATTTATTTACCTAACTTAACTACTTCAGGCCGTGACTAAAAACCTGTTGCTAACTTCAGCCCGTGACTAAATCGCCATAAAGCCACAACTTTTCAATGCGTATTTAAAAGGTCACTTAGTGTCATGGAAACATGTACGATAATGGACGTTTTAAAGGTGGGAGTGGAAAAAAAAATTGTCGCTGTGATAAAATGCGTAACTATGGAATTTATTGGTTCTAATACTAATGAATTGTATTCTCAGGCTGATATTTTATCAATAGAATAAAAAATTTGGTTTAAAATGTTAACAAATAAGGTGTAAAACATCCTTTCTTAAATTCTATTTATTTTTTGGGGGGGTATTTTGGGGTAACGTTTTATAACTCATATCATATAAGAAGACATTGTAGAATATCTGTACAGATTGTGACTAAAATGTGATAATTATAAATGTGATAATGATCATAGTATTGAGTTCAAATTTTGAAATTGTATTTAATACTAAATATGTAACGTGTTTATTAGGGTGTTTAAAAAAAATCGACTTTTTCTTTTTCTTCAAATGGTCAGCAAATTCTTTCAGAGGATGTCAAAACAAAGACCTCGTTAAAATTTGAGCTTTTAATTTGAACATTTAGAGGTCGCGGATCGCAATTTTCTATTTCCCATTTAAATAACATAGGAAATTTTTTTTTTAACTTGGGAATTTTATACGTCTATATCGAATCAACTTATGGCAAGGAACATCTTAGATTTTTATAGTAAATTTAACGCTCTATAAAAAATGTCTCTTATAATTTTTCTATAAATTGATTTCTTCCAGAGTTATTCGAGGCCAAAGTTTGATTTCCATCGAATTTTCTCGTTTTTTCAACTTTTAGCATCATGTAGTAAAAAAATCACATATTTATATCTGAAACAGGAAGTGTTGTAAAAAAAACAAAAAAACGTCACTTTTTTCCAAAGCCTACTACAAAGTTTTAATGAAAATATGAGATGTGTATAATATGCAGAGTAATTTATATATAAATGCATTTTTCTCGAAAATGGTGCATCTGAGCAATTCAAATCAAGAATACCTATTTTTCGTAAAAAACTATAAATTCTCATAATTTCATAAAAAAAATTAAATTATTAACCCAGAAAAAAGTTGGGGCTATTTTTGTAACTTTGCCCCCTCCAAATGTTACGCCTATGATTAAATTTTAACAGTTTTGATCATAGATCTAGATTCAGCATGTCAAAATTGCCAAAGTAGCGAAAATTCATTTGTTCATGTTCAACCCTCTAGGAATAGTTTTAAAAAAATTATCCTCTTAGGCTCCTATTCAGGGGGCCGTAGCTCCTTTAGGGAGCATTTTTTGATACATGTTTATTAAACAAAAAAAGTGTTATTTTTATACGAATAATGCACTGTTTAAGTTTGGCCCCCTAATTTCGGAAAACCCGTATAATGATAATTGTACCATAAATGTTAAAAAAACGCGAAAATTCGATGGAAATCAAACTTTGGCCTCGAATAACTCTGGAAGGAATCAATTTATAGAAAAATGATAGGAGACCTTTTTTGTAGAGCGTTAAATTTACTATGAAAATCTAAGATGATCCTTGACATAAGTTGATTCGATTCAGAGGTATAAAATTTCAAAGTAAAAAAAAAAATTCCCATGTTATTTAAATGGGAAATAGAAATTTGCGATCCGAGACCTCTAAATCTTCAAATTAAAAGCTCAAATTTTGACGAGGTCTTTGTGTTGACATCCTCTGAAAGAATTTGCCGACCATTTGAAGAAAAAGAAAAAGTCGATTTTTTTGAAACACCCTAGTGTTTATAGAGATGTCCCTCTATAAACAAGTTCACATTGTTCCTTGGGATGAATAAAGTATTTTATTATTATTAATACAAAAAAAATATGACCAGCTTGAAATATGATGAAATCATTAACAAAGAGAAAAAAATATATAAAAAAACAGTTTTCAAATTTTTTTATTGATGACGTCATATTAGAAAAGCCTATTTATTTAGCTCATTCTAAAATAAAGTCCTTTATATTTTAATTGGCAGATAAAACAAGAGGGTCATCCTTTCCCTTCGGATCTGACCCAACGCTATTTGTAATGTTCGCGGGTCATAATTTTGATAAATTTTGCCCCACAGGGGTTCTTTTATAGGTGCGGACTATTGCAATGGTCCCAATTGACGCCATAAAGTGACAAGAATAATAAAAAAAATTGATTAAAAAAAACTTTTGCTTAGGCGCAACAGGTGACTAAAATGTTTGAGATTCTCTAAATAAATAATTTATTATTGACGGAGCCTCGGACGGAGCTCAAAAATCATTTTAAGTACCAGTACCAACAAGAGTTTCGCGCTGTATTAAAATTCGTATTTTTTTTGTCGCGCCCACCGTAACACCATGTCCGGTGTTTATAAGCGAACTAATGCCCACATCCTTCAAGAAGATGCCCAGAGTGTCTACTTTAAGAAACATCCATTTTTCGTCTTAAAAACATTTGCCAAATGTGCAAAATCGCGTAACTTCTAAGGTGGCGTCGATTTGTCCCGAATGACCCCTTAGTCCTGATTCGCCCCGTTTGACGATACATAAATTCATATTCATTTATTTAATAAAGTGGTTTAAAAAGTACGCCAAAATTTATTTTTAATACCTATTTGTTTAAAATTATAATAATTACTTATTTGGTTTTAAGAACAATTGTTGACTGCCGATGCCAGATTAAGGACTTTGACGAAAAACCGAATGGTTTTTTTGTTTAAAACTTTCAAAAAAGTGTTTTTTAGTGTTGTAATAATTATAAAAATTATAAAAAAACCGATATGCAAAAAATACCAATTTATAACCAACAAGAGGCCAACGTAAAATTAACTGCCTCGCACAAAAGCCGGAGCAACACTGCTTCATATCATGATGTATCATGATGTATCATGGCTTAATATTCATATTATATTCAATGGTACTTGACTCGACAGGTGCGTCATCGGTCATTGGTAGGGGGCCGCCGTGACGCAACATTTGCGTCATCGGCAGTCAACGTGTTGAAAATATTTTGTGGTGGGGGAAGTTAATGATACTTATCGATAATTATTTAAAAATTATCGATAAGTATCGATACATTTTTTTTATTGACTTAAAACTGTAATATTTTTGGTTTTAACAGGGTTCATATATACAGGGTGTTATGTAATTAATGTTATATATTAAAATGGGTTGTTCCTTAGGGTCCATAAAGAAGCATCTGAAACTTTTTTTTTCTAAATTCCAAAGTCTAAAATTAATTTATAATAACCTTTATCCTACCAAAAAGTACGCCACTGATCGACTAGGAACTTTAGGCTAATCTGGTTAATTTATTATGTTATGGTTGGTAACAACAGTGTTTCCAAAATCTGTCAAAAAAGTTGACAAACATTGTTTAAATTTAGCTTAATTGCAAAAATGACAAAATTAACAATGCAAATTGTGAATTTGGCGTTTTTCTTAATTGTTGGTTATGTCATTTTTGTACTGAAGGTAAATTCAAACAAAATCTGCCAACTTTTATGGCAGAATCTAGTGCATTTCTTTCAAATTTTAGGTTATGTGCTCAAATCGTAAATATCTTAACTAAGGGAAGTGCTTTTGAATTTATTTACACAAATTAAATGTTTAAAGTTTAACCTGTGAACTGGTCCCAATTTCATCTGAGTAAACAGAAAGAAAAAAACTGATGAAAAAATTAATTTTGTGGTTATGGATTTTTTAAAATAGGTACTAAATTCTCTAATCATTGCTTAAGCTAAAAGCTGGATGAGTAAATAAATACAGAAGGGTGTTAGAGCTCTAAGGGCATAAAACTTTTGTATTTATTGAGTTTTTATTTATTTTTTGGAAGAAAAATTTTTAGTAACAATTTTTTACATCTGGCAACGCGTAGCTACTTTGTTGGTTGGTGTTGTATATGCATAGGCATAACAATGATCAAGAACCTTGGTTGTACAAGCAACTGTCAGTATTGAAGTTTCCCGCTGTATTCGTGATGTTCAATTACAAGTTATTATAAATATAAATGTTACAAGTGTACCTGAAGTTTTAATAACATACGAATATACGACATGGCGCAGTCGAAAGTTTAAATACAAGAAGATATACTTGGTTGAAAGTTTTTAACCAACGTAAAAGAAAGTTTTTGAACATTAAGTCCACTAATTGAGGCTTAGTTTTAAAAAC